CACACATCAATAAACCAAAGTGCGCATGCATGCAAACAAGCAAACACATGGGAAGAGGAAGGGGAGGAGTGGAAATGGATAGCAGGGACAGGCAGAAGCTACCACATATCTTGTAGAATCAGGCTTTAGTGCTGTTAATCATATTATGAGCAAACAGAGAAACCGTCTGAATATCACTGAAAGAGGAGACCTTTGTTTGTTCCTTACAAAAATAAACCAGATATCAAATATTTAGTCTCGCAGCAGCCTCAAAGATCTCATTAATCACTAGTAAAGTTAATTTCAATTTACTTTATTGTTTTCTAATTAAACTTTATAAAGTTAAAAACATTATAAACATGCATAAAGTAGAAATAAAAAGATAAATGTACATACATTTCTTTTTTTAAAAAAACACCCTCCTTTCTAAAAAATATTCTGCACTTGCACAAAAACTGGTGGGCGGTAAGGAAATTTTTCCATCAAGATCCATTAGTGGGTGGTAGGTAGAAAAAGGTTGACTACCACCATTCTAGAGTCTGAAGAATGATCTGGACGTCTCTACGTGCTTGGTGTAGGGACCTGGGCAGTAACAAAATATCATCAAGGTATCAGAGAATTCTAACTGGCATAGTTCTAAGATGGGCAGCCAGTTCAGCAAGGTGAAGACCCTCGGGGCAGAGGACAAACCAAATGGAAGGGCACGGTATTGAAAATGATTCCCTGCATAGGAAAAATGGAGGAATTTCCTGTGATCTGGAAGAATAGGGATATGGAGGTATGCCCCTGTGAGATCCACTGAGGAGAGGAAGTCATTAGGCCGAATGCTCTCCAAGATGGATAGCAGAGAGTGCTATAAATTTGTTCAGAAATTTGAGGTTGAGGATTGCCCTCCAACCCCCCCGAACACTTAGGCACTATGAAGAGACGGGAATAAAACCCCTGCCCATGTTGGGGCACTTCCTCAATGGTCTGAATGTGGAGGAGATGGCTGATTGCGAGTTCAACCAGATGTCTTTTAGTAATGTCCCTAGAGACCGGACATAGTACAAAAGTCTGTGGGGGACTAGAGAGAAATTCCAGGGCTAGGCCAAATCGGATGGTACGCCTGATCCAGGCATCGTTGGTGATGTTGTCCCAACGATTGGCGAAGGCCAAAAGATGGCCTCCAATTGGGAGGTCCCCAATGGAATTACTTCTGCTTTCAGAAGGAATGGTTGGGGCCGCCCTTGAAGGGCTTTCTGTAGGAGAAACGCTGGAATTTCTGTTGGATCGGTCCTGAGACAAAGGGCCCTGCCTTGGGCGAGTCTGGCATTGAGGACGGGGGTAGGCAAATCCCCTGTTTGTCCCTCGAAAGGATGACCTATGGAAAAAAAAGAGGGTTTAGAATCTGTTTTGCGGCTGGCAGAAGGAAGCATCTTTCGCTTGTCCTTGGACTCTACTGAGAGGTTCCAAAGGTGGGCCAAAGAGCAGTCCAGGAGAAAAAGGAGAAGCCAAATGCCACTTCGCTCTAGCCTTCATTGCTTCAACCATAGAAGACATCTTCTGGTGACTGATGACGCCATCGACTTGGAGGAGAAATGAGCTGCATCTAGAGAGGCATCGGCAGCGTATTACATTGCTGCTTTGAGCTTGTTGATGTCCTGATGAGAATGGGAATCAGCGGAATCAGCTTCAGCCAACGGAGGGCAGCCCTGTTGAAAAAAGAAGCAGAAGTGGCCCAAACCACCCATGTGGCAGACTGATGATCTTTAACTAATGACTGTTCAAAGCGTTTGCCCTCAGGACAGAGAGCGCCCTCTGGAGCATTAGTGGCTGCATTGGATGATGAAAGAGAAACCACAGGTAAGTCGATGGAAGGGACTTCCAAAAGCTTAGAGAGTTCTGGACTGACATTGTATAATTGTTTGTCCAGTGTAAAAGGGGGGGGACCCACCCCTGGAGATGCCCACTGATTTTGAATTACTTCCAAGAACAGCTTTGGGGAAGAAACATCCTTTTCGACAGGTGGCCGCGAAAAGAGTGGATCTGTGGTGTCAGACTTGTCAACCTCAGCAGTTGAGGATGGTTTTGAGACCGGAATGTCAGAGACCTTTTTGGCCTTGAACAAGAGGGAGTGAAACAAGGCAGGTTTGAATACGCCCATTAAGGCTGAAGGGGCTGGTGTCAAGTCCTCATCATCTGAAAGATCAGAATCACGGGTTACCTGGACAGTAATAGTTCTGGGGGAAGAGAACCCACATCTATGTCCGGGGTGACACTACCATCACCTTCTGAATCATACTCCGCTTGAAACCCAATCCCATCCTCAAGGTTTAAGGGAGAAGCAGGAGTGGAGATATCCCCATCAGTATCAGTAGAGAGATCTTCAGTAGGATTGATTGTTATTTGAGGAGAAACCAGTGGGGCAGAGATGGGAGCAGTGCAATGCTTGGCCTTAGAAGTGGCCTTTCATGGAGCAGAATCTGAGACCTTGTCATGGTCGGAACCAGAGATAACTACGCTTGGGGCCTCTTGAGGTGGAACAGTCTTAGGGGCCTTAGCAGGCTTGGCTGTAGGTGGCTGAGAAGCAGTGGTTTTTTCTCCTCCTGGGCTTAGAGGCCGGGAAAGGTGGATCATCCCCCTGTGCAATAGTGGTCTTGTTGGTTGGCATTACTCACGGTTGAGGAGAGCATCTAAAATGGCCGCCACAGGCTTCCCACCCAAACAAAATCACCACCAAAGTAGATAGGTTCTCGAGGAAGGGCTGAAGGAGCGAACCGACAAGGCGGCTAAAGGCCACCCAACAAATGCCTCAGTGCGAGAGGATGAATGCCCAAGCCGAAAGAGCTGTTTGATGTCAAAAGGAGGAATGCTGCTGAGGCAGCAAGGAAGAGTGGCGGTGTGCGTAATGCCCTGTGCTCAAGCGGCTGCCACATTTTGAAGAGTCTTCAACCGGCAATATCGAGATGATCACAAGTTCTTCTGGCGGCGCAGCTGCAGTGATTGCCTTTTTGGGCAGTGTGGCAGCAGCAATCAGTGAATTAGCAGCGCCTGAGATAAAAACCTCGTAGGCTAGCCACTAGCGTTCTCCACAATTAGAGCCAAGTGAGAACGAGGCAAGAGCCCTTGGAGGATATGAAGCCTCCAAAGCAAAAGAAACCAAAGCCAATTGAATTAAATTTAAAAGAGAGCCAATTAGAAGAAATTTGGAAAGTTTTAGCTAGAATTTAGTTTAAAATCAAATTATTTAGCAAGGAGAGATACACAGACACAGCTAATCGAAGGATCGACTGAGTCTAAACTGGGTAGGAGGAGCCTCGTGGGCGTCTTTAATGCTTGTAGACCCAGTCGGATTGGATACTGACAGTCATACCTATGCCTGGATGATGTCTCCACCTACTAGGAGAATATACCATTTGAAGTTTAAAAAAATATACAAATAAGAGGGCTGATTGTGATTGTTATATATCACTATAAGGTAGCTTTGCTTGTAAAATGAAATTTCATGTTTTAACATATTAAGAAAAGCATGATCCCTCAATAAGGACAATAAGCATTAGACTATAGTCCTAACCTTATAACTGATTTGCTTTATAGCATACAACTAAAACTTAGTGGACAATTTTGTTCAGACTGAGACTTATACCAGACTTTGTGCTGTAAATTGAGGATTTCATTCCAAAATAAAGGATAGAATCTAAAATGGGCCTGATTGTGGGAAGGGTGAAATCGGTTTGTAAATCTTTATAAAACTCCAGTTTTATTCTTTACATTTGCTCAAATTCCAAAAAATGAGTAAATTATTAATCTTGCCTAGACTCATGGTATTACAGAAGTGATATGAACTCTATTTGACCCACTAACTACTGATTTTGCATCTTTGCAAAAAAATAATTTATTGTTAATGAGGCACTCCAAACCTTGGATTCTGATTTTAGTAACTGAGTACTGCAACTTTGTTTAAAACTTATCAAGATAACACAAGAGAACAAAATATAGTCTTCTCAATTTTATATCAAAAGAATCTGTGGCATTTTTGTCCTACCTCTGTTCTTTCAAAGCTGAGAAGACTATTATTGCTATAATGCAATCCAACGTGTGGGAACACTTCTGACACGGAGGTCCAGATAGATATAAAACATATCTGAGCAGTTGGAAAAGCTGACAATTTTTAACAACATTTTTAATGCTATTATATACAGTGCTGTTCTTTCAATATGCAAGCTGAAACAAAAAATACCAACTCCATTACACAAAGGTGATGATTACAGGGAAAATGATTCAGATTGAGCCAGTTACATTTATGACTCACTGAAATCAGTAAGAAAAATACAGTTAGAACATAAATCTGAATTATTCCAGTAGAAAGTAAGCACAATTCATTTTTTGTTTTAACTAAACATAAATACCTCAAATTTCAAGTTTTAGCACTTATTACCTTTAAGAGGTGCCATTGTGAATGTTACCCATGTTTCCCCAAAAATAAGACCTGGTCTTATTTCTGTTTGGGTCCCAAAATAAGCAATAGGGCATTGGTGGTACCAATGGGGTGGGGTGACTTAAGGGGGGTGCTAAGAGGCAAGGGGGTGGCAGGGGGAGCACTAAGAGGTAAGGGAGGTGGCAGAGGAGTGCTGGAGGTGGCCCCCTCGTAGGGCGCAATTCTGCCTGGGGCTCTGTTGGCCGCCAGTCAGCTGAGCACTTCCGGCAGGGGTGAAATTCAGCCGGTTCTGACCGGTTCTCCTGAATGGTAGGACAAATTATGGGCAGTTCAGAGAACTGGTAAAATGCACCACTGACTGGCTCCGCCCTCACCTTCCGTCCCTCCCACTTTTCGTCCCTCGCCTGCTGCTGCTCCCTGCTGGTTCTCTCGCTTATCTCAACCACACCGTCCAGCAGATCTCTGCCCGGTTAGTTTTCCTTTGCTTCTAGCTGTTACTATCTTCCTTCCGTCATGCAAACTGCCCAGTCACATGACCCCCCCCCCAGCCACCAAGCCATGTCCACAGAACGGGTAGTAAAAACATTTGAATTCCACCACTGAGTGGGGGGCACTGAGGATCAGTTTGTAGCACCAAGGGGGCAGTGGACTGAAAAAGTTTGGGAACTACTGCAATAGGGCATTATTTTCAGGGAGTGTCTTATTTTTTACCATGTACAAGAGGCCCAGTTGTGTTTGCTTGCGGTGGGATAGGAGGCCATGTGGTGTATAAGTGCTGCTGCTGCGAGGTAGGAGAAATGGAGCTGTCTCATGTGCTCTGCACTGATTTACCTCAGGGCCCCTGCAGCTAGGCAATCCACACCCTCATCTTACGGCCACATCAGCAGTCACATCCCACAATGCACTGCTGCCACAGTCATGAGGTGAGGCAGTGAAGCTGCCCCATGCACCCCATCACCTTCCTTGTCTCACAGCCAGGGTACCATCACACCACTCAGCCTCCTGCTTCATTGTGGCCATGAGCAAGCAGAAATGGGCCAGCGGCCACTTGGGCTCCTCTTGCATGTGTTCTGACCCAAACACAACAAACCCGCTGTACTTAATTAAATATTCCCTTTATTAGGAGCATCATCAGCTCTAGCAAAAAGTCTTTCTCTCATAACAGGCTAATAAGTCTTTCAGTGCCTGTGGAAAGCTGAGCTCCCTCTCTTTCCCCCTGAAATGGCCCCACATCAGGAGTCTCTCTCTTTCTCCATGCTCTCACAACAAGTTCTGGAAGGTACACTAGCTTTTTTCCAAAAGCAGACACCTCCACACTCCCACCCAAAAGGCACACCTGACTCGTAGTGCCGCCGATTCAAAGGAAGAAGTCTGATAGTCCCAGACAGGATTCGGAAGTCAGTAGCTGACCAAGGGAGATGAATAGTTGTCTGCCACTTGCCTTGCCTTGCCACTCTAATACTTTCTCCTCATCTGACTCAGCTGTTAGAGAGGCTGGTAGCTGACAGGCCACAACATGGTTGCTGCTGCTGTTGCGAGGCAAGTGTCAGGGCGTGAATGGCCTGGTTGCGGGGCACATGGGGCAGCTCCACCACCCTATCTTGCCTCGTGGCCACCACACTGTGAGAATCAGATGGAATTGGCAGGTAGCTGGCTGCACGGGCCTTAAATAGGGCTTATTTGGGGGGGGCAGGCGGATTATATTATGCACATGTGTAATACATGCTAGGACTTATTTTCAGGCTAGGACTTATTTTCAGGGAAACAGGGTGTTAAATACAAAAGCAAGATTACAAAAATAAGGATAATTCTTCCATACATCCATGTTTTTAAGTTGTGATCAAACGAAATATCTGATTCTTTAGGTAAGTGCACAGTTGATTCATTAAGTCTCTGTTCTGTCCATCAATCCAGTGCATTTCTATTAAAATATCAGGACCTTCTTTCTTCACAATTAACACACATTTGAAAAGGAACCATTCCCTTGAAGTGTTATCATTCTGTCCAGTTTCAAGAGCCAGGATTTCAGTAGCAAAGGTCTTGGTCCCAGAATCTTTGGATTCTGAAATGAAGGATGGTTCCTTTGCGCTGCTGCTTTCCTCAATGGATCCCTGCATACTTTTCTCCTGAATTGCAGGTACATTATTGAGTCCATTACCCTCTGAGGACTCAACATCAAGACAAAGTACCTCAGAAGATTTTTCAGTAGACCCATTTGCATTTCCTTCACACTCAGAGATGTTACAGGATGTTTTCTGATTCTTTTCTTCTGTTGATTGCAGGAAATCTTCAGATGCTCGAGGAAGTTCACGCAATTGCCTGACTCTGTCCCTCTTTTTTCTCCTTAAATGAATCCAGGAATTTTCCACAGCTGTTAGAAACAAGCTGACCTCATCTTTTCCACATGGAAGTGTTTTATGCTGAACCTATTGAAGGGAATAACATCAAACTATAGTGTGGCTCTTTTTCGGCTACTGGCAATTGCCTGAAGCAGAATTTTAAAAAATTAGCATACCTTCAGGTCAGTGAGTAGTTTTCTAATCCATGCGGCAACAACTCCTAATCCTTCAACAGCATTGATTCCTACAGATGAAGCTCTCATACCTAACTCTTTGGCCGTTGATGCCAAGACGAGAAATGTGATTGGTTTCCGAGGTTTTTCTAATTTCCTTTTCTTGGAAGGAGGTGACTAAGAGGAAAAGTACAATATTCAAGTTGAACAAAATGATTAGAAAACAAAACAATATCCTGAAGAACATGAAGAGAACATTGAAAAGACTTTGGTCCTAGCGTACATAGTGAATTCATAAAATATCTGCTACCCCATTCATCACTATGCACATCCTCCTCCCCACAAAATGCCAGTGGAAAGCCACATCTGAACATGGTGAACATAACAGAAGGGATTATCAGTGGGACTGGAAAGGAAATGGAATGCATAAAGATAAACCTGGTTTTGGACTAAAGAAATTCATAAAAGAGAACCCTTCAAAACTCGATACCTCATTTTTTAGAAAGCTTTTGTCATTTTTCAGATATACATTTGAGGAGGTAGATGATGCTAGAAAAGAAAGCCACAATGAGGTAGTTTCCGTCTGTGAATTTTTCCAATTTGATGTTCCCTACACAAGTTAGAATGCATCTCATACATTTTTTGAGCCAGTCTAAAGCTAAGTACATATTCTAAGTATTCTGGGAACTGCAATAATATAGTTACAATACATCTGAGGAAACAACCAAAAAATCATCACCTCCTCCAATTATTTAATAATAAGTAGTTGAATTATTTTTAGTATCTTCATTGTCTGCTGAAATAGATAATTTTTGACTGACAATGATAGTGCCTGAGAAGTCAGATCCCACAAAGGCAAAGGCTATCACCCAGCAAAGAGGGCCATTTACTATTCCTTCCTCTTGAGTTTTACTGTACAAGACAAATGCCATAATTTGCAATCACACATGGTTGATGGCCTCCACTTGCATGAGATGAAGGCAATGAAGCAACAAATCTCTGCACTCTTTCTTTCCATTAGTGGTGTTGTCCACATTCATCTCTTTGGTGTCTTAAAACATGCATATATAACTTTCTCACAAGTACACTAGGAAAGGCTCTCCTGTATAAAGAATAACCCATCCCCAGGATCTAAAGAATCACCCCAGTAAGCCATAGAAATAAAAAGGTATCTGAATGTGTTTTATCAACAGATACTCTACCTCTCTCTACTTGCTCTAGAAAAACTGAAAAGTGTGCAACCAGTCCCAGGACTATAGGTAGTTCTTGACTTACGGTCATAATTGGGACCAGAATTTCTGTTGCTAAGCAAGGTGGTCACTTCCAATTTTAAGGTCTTTTTTGCCACAAATAAGTGAATTTTTGCAGTTAAGTAACTTACCTGATTGTTAAGTGAATCCTGCCTCCCCCATTACTTTACATGTCGGAAGCTGGCTGGGAAGGTAGCAAATAGGATCACATATCCCTGGGATGCTACAACTGTTGTATATATGTGTTGGTTGCCAAGTGCCAGAATTTTGATCACATGATTGCTGTGATAGTCATAAGCTTGGTGACCAATCATAAGTTACTTTTTTCAGTGCCATTTTGAATTGTCACTAAATTAATAGTTGTGAGGACTTCCTGTAAATAATTCCCCATGAAGATTCAAAGTCGATATTGAAAGAGGAGGACAAGAGAACCACTTACTGGAACTTTGACATTTTCATAGAAGCTCCAAGCCAGGGCCCATCGCATAGTACGACCTTGGCAGAATTCAGTATGGGTGACTTTAGGAACCTACATAGAAAAATAAAACCAGTCTTAAACTTTTTCTGTTTCCAAAAGCTATTTAATGACAATTTAAGAGATATTTGACATAACATCAATAATATTTATTGACAAAAGTATTCTTTTTTATAATTAACCTGTTAAAAAAATAAAAAAGGAATAGTATGAAGAGCACATCTGGAGCCCACACAAGTCTTGAAATGTATAGTGTCCAGCTCAGAAAATGCACTTCCACAAACCTGCTGATTGACAGTTCAGCAGGTTAAAGAGGAAGCACAGGTCAGTGATGGTATATTGTATGTGGAATTTTAACTCTGCATACTGTTTTTTCAATTGCTGCATGCTGTTTTCTCATTTTGCTGAATTTGATATGATACAAATTGTTAAGCTAGTGAGATATGAGATAGTGTGTATGTACATCCAAGTAAGTGAAATATAAACATAAGAGAGAAGTTTTTATAGTGGACATTTTTTCTAATTTGTATAGGGCCAAATAAGAATGTATCTAAACATGCAGATGCAGCTGGTCTGAAGAGCACTATGTTCTGAAGGTCAAATATGAACTGACAATTTCATGTTACATGTGTTTCAGCCACTTTGTTGACTCAATGTTAAAGGAACTTGAATGGAACTTTTATACCATGCTAGTGGTATGATGTTCTTTCAATTCACTAAGAAAAGTGAACTATACTGCTATACTGATCTACACTGCAGAATTTAGATCAATTTACATATTCTCCCACATAATTCCCTTTAAATAGTTGTGGGTTTTTTGTATAATAAAACAGTGAAACATTAAGAATAATTTCACCCTAATTCTTAGCACCAGCTTCAAAATTTCTTCAAATGAGAAAGAGCACAGGATGCGTGACTGGTCAGATAGAAAGGAACCAGCAATTTCACATAAACAGAAGAAAAACATTGTTTCTGCTCCAGATGTCTTTGTACAGTTCATATGGAAAACAAGCAAGCTACAAAAACAAATCCTGCAATGCACATCCCAAAATAATACCAATATTAGTTTCTAATAGATCGACACTGAAGAAAAAATAGTGGTTTAATGCTTTTTTATAAAATTATCAGGGCTACACCTCTTTCTTATTAGAAGTTTTGTTTTAACTAAGCGTAACAAAACTTAAAGCCTACTTTTTTCAAGATGTAACTTTATGTAAGTCACAGTCTAGTCACAATTTTTAAATAACAGATAACTTTAGTGTCTTTAGAAAACTACTTACTCCATGGATTCGCAGTTCTTCTTTCAAAGGTGCCAAACTGCATTTCTTTCCCAACATACAACTATACCACCTTTAATAAAGAAAACATTTCAGAAATGGGAAATAAAGTTCAAGTAAATGAAATATATTTCTAAATCAACAATAAATCCTAGACTGTGATATATTGGAGTGGCTCTCTTTCTTGGAACTAACCTTTTTCAAATGGATGACTTGTCACTTTGACTTTTTTGAAATAGCAAATAATTTTACATTAAGATACAAATTATTAATATTTATTATTACTTTATTTAAAACTGATATTCTGATATTTTTTGGTAGTTCTTTGATTAATGTTTTAATTTCTGTCGACTGGTATTAATCCTTGCTTAGCTGAAAGTTGGCTGCTGGAAAAAATGTGTTCTGGTCTTTTCAAAATGTGGAAATTAGATAAAAGAGAATGAACACACACACACACACACACACACACACACACACACACCACTACCACCACCACCACACACACACCACCACCACCACCATTATTTTGATAATGGAACATTTGGTTATTGTGGACTGATTTCAAAAAGACTTTCATTTCTAATTTGCTGTTGTTTCCTCTGATGAGGAAGAAGGGTAGTATGTTGTTGTTTTCTTCCTCTCTAAATCTCACATCCTCAGCAATGAGGTTACTTCGTTGGGTAATGAAATGTTTGCAAACAAACAATCAAGGTCAAATTCTCCTTTCATAGATATTTACACATGGTACCATGAATTAAGCAGACTATTTTGGATACAAAATATATACTGTAATATACAAAATATAATATACAAAATATATTATATGCCATGAAAATTACATATATTGATTACACTTTAAGTCAAGTTGTAATATTTGTGAATGTCCATATTGTTATGAATTACTTATCTATTACATAGGAACTGAAGACTGGATAATGGAAATGGATTCTTCTCATCCTTCATATTGTTTCTTATTATTAAGAAACTTATTCTTCAACATTGGAAAGATAAATGTATGGCTACAATTCCTCACTGTATTGAAGAAGTTATTCTGAAGCTAATTATGATTTATAGCCATAGGTGTGTGTGTGTGTGTGTGCGTGCGTGTAAAATTTCCATCTTTTTTGCTTTTCTTTAAATACAGACATACCATATATACTAAATGCCAGTGCTTTTAAATTTAATGTAACTTCTTACCGTAATCTTTTTTTAAGTTGCAAGCTATCATGAATGATTCTCTTGACAAATTCTAGCTCTCCTCCTTCAGCCATAATCTCAGTTATGCCTCCTGTATTGACTGAACTAGGAGGTGCCCTTCTAGGATTACGAGAATTTACTCCCTGGAAAAGAAACAATTTCTTTTACAGCTAAAATGTAAACAACCAATAGCTATTATTGATTTTTTTCCTGTGAGCTAATTATCTTATTTTCCTTTGATTAACATTCTATTTTTTCTGCCATTGCTGTATTACTTCAAAAAACAAAAAGCAAAACAAAGCTTTCAAAGAAAATAGGACTAGTGTAATTTTGGGAACCAGTAAATAAAAAGTGGGAATAGCTTAAACTAAGATGTGCCATTCATCAGAAAGATGAAATTAATTGCTTTATCACAAGCAACTGGACAATGGTCAAATAAGATAGAAAGCTTTTGGCAAAATGATTAGCAACAGATTCTAATAACTTATATTTTTACCTTTAAAAAAATACTTTCCAATGCCATCTAAATTGATAACTAATTGATAACTAACTAATCAATAACCTAACCAATCATCCCTATACTACATGTATTCTCCATGACTATAACAGTAGCATCAGGGCTTGTATGAACAAATAAGGATGCAGGAAAATAATAACTAACATATTTAAAATAAATAGTTCCATGCTCAGGCAGGCAACATAGTTTTATAATGCATATAATAAAGAGTTAATGGACTGTTTTTGCAGATTTATTATATATAAGAAAACATAAAATACATGTAAGGAATCATATTGTTTTACTTTAATAATAAAAATTAAGAGCATCAAAATGTATCAGAATCTTCTCTATTTCATAATTAAAAATGGGTCATTTATTATTTGCAATTCTAATGCCCAACAGGTAAAATAACAAAGTAGTGAAGAAAATCAACCGAAGAACAATTTTCAGTAGCTGATATAATAGGTATGTTTAATAGGCTTTAGTCTCACAATTCTTTATTTTTTTTATGATGGGAAGATTTTTGCTAGAACAAAGAGGCCTTTTTCTCAGAAGATGTGCTAGAAACATTTGATTTATACTTTTGACTTATCAATTTATAAACACTCCCCTTTAATTAAATCTGGTGGAATAAATTCATTAGTGAATGTTTTGCACTGTTTTTATATAATAAAAAATCTAAAATTATTAGTGTGGTAACAAATGTCATAGAATTTTAGCAATATTTGCTATTACTAAAATGAGAAGTCATAGTTATCGTAAATATATCCTCACAAAATCATGCATAAGTAAACACATTTCACAAAAGCAAAATGAAAAAATGCAACATTTTGATTTTTTTAAAAAATAAAGTAAAATGGTTGGTAATAACTTTGATTAATAGCATTTCTTAGATTTGAAACGATGGGGTCAATGCATGTTGTCTTATAACAAGCTATTTTTTTTATGATGGAAAGATTTTTGCTAGAACAAAGAGGCCTTTTTCTCAGAAGATGTGCTAGAAACATTTGAAATTAATAATTCTTATTAAAACAATAATAACTGTACCTAGTTATGATATATCTGAGGTTGATAACTTTAAACATTTTAATTATAATCTCTCCCTCCCACCCAAAAAAGAAAAGAGAAAGATTGTTATAGTAAAAGCATGCACTCCTTAATAACTGGTATTTTGTTATTTAATAACACCCATCTATTATAACAGTAAATAACTATTAAAAATACATCAGACAACGAGGGTCTATATAGCACAGTATTCAGACTTTTATGTCTATATTTCTGCAAGTTCTTCAAAATTATCTTGCTCTCACAAAAATACGTTAATTAAAGGCCAAAAGAGATTACCAAAGGTATAGAAACAGTTATGTAAGATACATAAGTGAAGCTGGTATTAAGAATGGATAAATTTATTTGGGGAAAAAATACTCACTGGCAGTCTTTTCCAATTTTATGGCCTCCAGATGTCTGATTTCAAATACCATAATGTAAAAAACACCCAAATTGTGAATTTATGAAAAAAGTTCATTATATTTATAACTATTCACTGAGAAAGAAATTTCTGTAGATTCTGGCAGCAAATAAAATATACCACTTCATAGTTCTTTATAGCCTTTTCTAATAAAATTTTATAGAGTCAGCATATTGCCCCCAACAGTGTGGGTCCTCATTTTACACATCTCAGAAGGCTGAGTGGTATTATTGCTCCCTCAATTAACAATAAATGTGAGAGATACAGGTGTTCATTACCATGAAATAGACGACACATGTTCAATAGCAATATAACAAATAAGTTCTCAATTAAGATCCATTGTGAACTGAATAAATTATATGACATAAATTGCTTTGGGCTCTCATAATCTTTTCCTGTAACCAAACACATTTCAGAGAAGACTTTAATTTTGCTTCACAGCAGGTTGCAGCAACTATCTGACCTTCTTTGATTTCAAAGAAGATAAACAAGGATAGGAAATCACCAAGAAACTGCAGCAATATAGGTTGCAGAGTGACAAAAAGTGAGAGACTTTCATAGTTATCGAAGAAATAAAATGTATGTATATATCTATTCAACAGAAACAATGGTAAGTGTACAACTTCTATTTGTAAGCATCTCAAAGGCATCAGCTTGGCAAGAATGAGAAACAAAAAGATGCACGAAGATGTGTCCCAACCCGAAACATTATGAACTTGAGGAATTTTTTTATTTATTTCTTATTATGCAAATAAACAAACGGGATAAAACTATTTTTACATGCTTAGTTTCAGTTATATCACCATTGAGCTTCAAGCAATATAAATATGGAATATCCTCTCAACAATAAGTATTCATCAAATGAAGAAGTAAAGGTCCATTGAGAAGCTAATAATAAACAAACCTTCGCTTCTAGTTGGTTGGCAAAAAATGGAGGATTGCACATACAGAAGTCATAAATAACTTCAGACTCTTCTTCTAAGGCATCCAGGAGTAGTGTTTTTTGTGGTACTTTAACCACTAGACGAAAAATAAAGAGAAATAATTAGTTGACAGCCTTTCATTCAAACATTAGAGATCATTCCTAATACATCAACATGAAAAATAAATATGTACCTAGGTTGTTTATATTAAAAAGATTGATGCATATAACTCACCCTACATCTTAGATGTTCAGTTTAATAGCTACATTTTTATTATAAACCCAGTGGTACTTCTGTACAACTGAACAACAATTAAAGAGGATCATTGGAAACTCATATAGTCAAATAAATTAAAATTATAATTAGCCTTTAACACCTTCTTGACATTATTATCTATTCCTAATGGACTGGAGTAACTGGAAGGAAAGCTAGATGTTTTGATTTCCTATCCATTGCCACTAGTCTTTAACAAAGTAGCTTCAAAACAACCCTGTGAATCAAAACAACCTTTAAATCATGTACTTTATATGATTCTTTTTAAAACAGCACATAAAGAACTCTGCCTAGGTATTATAAAAGAGAAACAAAGAGTTACCTTTTATAAGATCAGATAAGTTATTTTGCTCTACATTTTTCTTGGCATAGCTGAAGCACACATCATCCACTTCTGTTGCAATAAAATACCATCCATTCAAAGTTGCACCCAGTAATGGGTAAATACAGGATGCACCAGTACCTGTATCACATTCAAGAAGGGGAAATTTGATTAATAAAAGTGATAAATAAGAAAAATGTGCTAACTTTCAAGCCTTTCCATGGTAATCACTCTATTAATTGATTGCATCAAGTAAACCTTTACTAAATGAATTCTGCATGGCAATGAGGATCTTTTTTGCTACTTCTTAGGACGTAAACAGCAAGTTTAAAAAATAGCTTCCTTTGAGTTTAAATTAATTCCTGGTGACTGCATGATCACATCCACATACCTATGTCTATTCCCCATATAATAGAACCTTTAGTAGCAGTATCTTGCTGAGCAATCAGATCTTCAACCCAGTGGATATAGTTAAGTCTCAAGGGGACAGTTGGAATAAGCCTTTCTAATGGTATATCAATCTGAAGTCCAAAATCTTCTTTCAGCAACGTACACGTCAGGGCTCTCACTGCTTGTGGATCCTTGAAATTTACACTGGAAGATATAAGAAACAGGTAGAAAACTGTGGAATGAGTAAACAATTGACAAAAATGGGGTTTAAAAAAATTGCTATATCTAGAAAGATCTGCTATTGTATTCCAATCACATTTTCAAAATGGAAGATCAAAGATAAAAGCAGTATTTATCTAGCATAAATGAATCTAGGGAAGGTGTCAAATATAGATTGATCCAGGATGAACTCCTTAGGTGGTAAGGTGATCATGGTCTGTTTCAGAATTGCTAGCATCATTACTTCTCAAAGAGAGGGATTATAACCATTGGTAGCTTTCTTTGTTCCCTGAATAAGCCATGTGTAGGTTCTAGCCCTTAAATAGAACTTAAAGTGCTCAGCCCTGCACTCATTTGAACTGTCCACAAGATAGCTAAGGAAAAAAAAACAAGCCCCTGTCAGAACCCATTGGATTCATAAGATGCTTAGGGAAAATCATTTTAATTAGCCATTTCAATATATAAGTCTGGCTACTATTTCCTATTTAACAGACAAATACGTGCACACCATGTGAAAAAAGTGGTAGTAAAGTCCCGCATACATTCTATTAGCCTGTGAATACTATCAAAAGATTGAGATTCTTTTTTATTATGGGTAATTATCAGTTAAAAACTATATATATCGAATATTTTAAACTGAACAACTGGAGATATATTTTTCTCTCTCTCTTTCTACTTCCCCCTCTCAGGAGTGAGATTTTAGATTATGAGTCCTTAGGTATCCCCATCAGTCTAGCACTGAATATGTTATCTAGTTTGGGTAATGAAACGTCTGCAAGAAAACAACCATACTCGGAGAGCACCAAGGACATTTCATTTCAACCCTGGGCTACAAATATTCCTTTATATTGGCCCTGTGAATCCTCTTAAGACAAGGATGTCCAAACATGGCTGGCTGGGGAAGTCCAAAAGTCTTCAAGTTCCCAAGATTGGACACCACCGTCTTAAGAGGAAAACCTTTTCTCATTCGGTGAAACTCTGTCTTCAGCGACAGGTATTATATAAAGACAAAAGATAAGCAGATGTACATGCTGACCTACCTCACTCTTCCGGACAAGTTAATTTGCACATGCTGCTTAAATTCTGGATACTTGGATGCCAGAAAAGCGAAGTCGGGAGGTTTGTTCTTGTACCTATTCCTCTCGTGCATAGATTTGTTGAGGGCCATTCGGAGAGCGGGCCAATACCTACTGATACGAAAAGATTACCAGGTCACCTCAAAAGTGCGCGGCCCACCTGAAGACTGCCCAATAAGATGCTCGGACCTCTTCCAGCGAGATACGATACCACACCCACACCCACCCCGCGAAGTAGGCGCAGAGGCAGAAGGTCGCCCAGTCCGGGAGGGGGGAGGGAGAAGTATTTAAAAAAACAACAACCGTTCAAAGTCTCTTTGGTGCAAACTACGGAGCAGTGCGTTCTCCTCCTCGCGCACACCGGAAGTGAAAACGAGTGATTGCATTTGTTTTTTTTTTTAAAGGAAGTCCTGCAAGGCCACTCTGGAGGGCGATACCTCTATGGTTAGAGCCGCTCTAGTCCCCACCTTCCCTTGGGGAGGAAGTGGAGGGCCGCGGGGAGGGGAAAGCGCCTTGGGCTTCTGTCTTGTCTTCCTCGTTAGCAGCAACTATCAGGGCGTCGGTTTTACTAGGGAATGGAGGCAGTTGCCTTTTTCCTGGTTGAAGGGCGAGGGAGACGCTCCTTTGCCGAGAACGGCCTCCCCTCATCTGCCTTCAGAAAAGTTAGTGAAGGGACTGCTGATCGCTGCTCTTCGCTCCTTATTCCCTCGTTGCCAGAGCAAACGGATGACCAGGAGGTGCCTCTATGAAGTGTAGGGGTGCGGGGATAAACAGGTTGGAGGACCCTGCCCCCTATTGCTGGACACCTCACACAAACACCTTGGGTTGCTAGAAGTTGCCGTTCACCAACATTGGAGTCTCGCATGCCTACCACTCTCAAAGATTAAAATAACACTGAAATGTAGACATAAAAACACAGGTTGCGAATTTATAAATATTTTCCCGTCATAAATGTGAACCCCTAAATAAATTTTTAATTAGTACCAGTCAGTTAAACTCCATCTCCGAACATTTAAAGCATGATTATAAGGACGATATGTGCCTAAACACATGAAGAGGTTATTTAAATTAAATTTTTGTATCAAAAATTTAATCCAACAATATTATTTTAATTATTTTACCATGCCAATCATTAATCCAAATGTGTGTAGAAATACCAAAACAGTAGGAATAACTATCTCCAGACTAATAAACTGTTTAAATGTTTGCAGATGAAGAAATGAAACATGAAAAAAATGGAACTGTTGTTGAAGCACATCCAGTGCATCAAATATAACTGGTACATCTGTGGAAATCTAAAAGTAGTGGTTCTGCTTGGAATGCTGCTGAGACATACCAAGTACTATTGTTACACATGGGAATGGGACTGCTATGCCATTAAAAAGAAATGGTCACTGAAAGAATATAGTTCCAGGCAGAAAAATGTTGCATATGAGCCAAAATATTTTTGTTTCTGCTTCACATAAAACTCAAAATGATGAAAATTTTTGTAAAAGCAATACATGGGGAAGTTTCTTATTTAAGACAGGTTTCCAAGAATCATGAACGCCAAGATTAAGGAAGGCATTTTTGTTGGTCCACAGATCACATACGTCATCAATAGCAAGCAGTCTGAAGATCTGTTAGTGGGGCAGAGAAAATCACCTGGAAACATTCAAAGATGTCTTTGAGAATTTTTTTTGGCAATTACACTGTGCTAAATACATTAAACTGGTTAAACTGGTTTAGTTTCAGGAAACAAAACTTTAAAAAAAATTGTTGTCCAGTGTTTCCCAAACTTACCAGAGATTCTGATAATTGCACTTAAATTCTTTTACACACAAGGCTATATTCTGTTTCTGCTAGACATTAATGATCAGGATGAAGAAGTAGCATGTTGTTATTATTAACTGCCGTCTTGAACTTTCTGAATCATACCTGGAAAAAGATAACTGCAGGCAGTCCTTAAGACTCACAACCGTGATTGGAAAACATTGTTAACGGAAGTGATTGTGACACTTTATAATTTTCTTGCCATTCTAGTGAATCATGTGGTAATTAAATGAATCTGACTTTTCTCATGACTTTGCTTGTCAAAAGCTCCCTCAAAAGATTGTAAATGGCAATCACTTATCCCTTGGGACACTGCAACTATTATAAATACATGCCAGTTGCTAAATCAGAATCAAGATGTGGCATTGAAGCACTATGTCAGTTCTAAATTGTAAGGACTGGTCATATGTTTTTTCCCCCAGTCCTGTTGTAATTTCAAATAGATGCTAAATGAATTATCATAAATAGAAGACCTTTCATATGTTATTGCTGATACAGGAAAATGTTTAGAGTCCTGAAGCTCCAAAATACGATAACCCTGCTTACAGTATATACATTCACTACTTCGACAGCTACAGTTCTGTACAGCTGTTATATTACTGAATTTCCAAAATTAAATCATATCCTATTTCTCATCCTCTTTGCTGGGCTTCTTTCTTCCTAAATTGCTCTGCCACTCCTCCTCCTCTTCATTTTAGCCATTCTGTCCACTGTAGAATGAAGGCCTCTTCCACATGTTTCCCAACCAATATGGTCCCGAGCTTGCTTTTGCCAACTGGGCCTGCAATGCAATGCTTGCTGATGTCATTGATGCATCTTGCTTTAGATCACTTTTGTGGACATTTTTTTTATCAAGTGGGATCCGTTCTATGACTGCCTTGGTCCACCTGCCATCACTTATTATTGCTATGTGGCCAGCCCACTTCCATTTCCATTTGGCAAGCTAAGTATACTTTTTAAGAACCACCTCCCCTTATGCTTGATGAGAAAAGTTTTTGATGGTTGTATGCTACCTGTTCTAACATATACCAGTGAAACATGGGCACTAATCTCACCATCAATACAAAAGCTACAAGTGGCACGAAGAGTCATGGAAAGATAGATGCTCAGCATTACAAGACAAGATAGAAAAGTCTGCACATGGATTAGAGATGAAAAGAAAGTATACTATATCAAGAGTAAAAAAAATTGAAATACCATATTCCACAAATATTTTCACAAATTCCAGCAGCTCCCACTTTATCAAAGTATATATTAAAAAGATACAAAAAGGTACATTAAGCTGAGTGATACTGTCTCCAAATCATTGAGTAAACTTAATTATAAAGGGAGAAAAAGAATTAGGTCTCCCAGCTTCAGATTAAAACTTTGTCTGAGGAAGAACAAAATATTCAATTACAGAATGAAATATAAATAAAGTATATATATTATTGCTTTAAATTTGTAATGTTAATTTAAAAATGACAGTTATCATGCTCCTTTACTTATCACATTACAGATTGAAGAGCTTACCACATACAAACTATACATACAATACATAGCACATACAAACTATATATACATATACTGTGTATCTTTGGGATAGGAATTTTATGCAGACAATGGAAAAGAGAGTAAAAAAAAACCCAGTAAGACGAAGGCAGGAGAAAAGGAAATGAAAAAAAGGAAAGGAAACGAGCTGTGGTGACGCAGTGGTTAGAATGCAGTACTGCAGGCTACTTCTGCTGACTGCAGGCTTCCAGCACTTTGGTAATTCGATTTCCACCAGCTCAAGATTGACTCAGCCTTCCATTCTTTCCAGGTCAGTAAAAGATTGTTCGATGTAATATGCTGACTCTATAAAATGCTTAGAGAGAGCTGAACTATGAAACGGTATATAAGTCTAAGTGATATTGCTATAGAAAACAACTAAAAAAGTTTACCTTAATTCTATACCTCTCCATATTTTTCTAGCCTTACACATCCTTCCTTCCAGTATTATCCATAAACTGCTACACACATTACCTCCTTGTCTCTTTCTTTTTTACATCTCATCAGTTGACTTAATTGCAACTTTCTTGGTATTCCTGTTTCCCTCAATTAATTCATTCTTCTTTCATATGTGTATTCTGATTCACCCTCATTCAGTGAATCAGACTAAATCATTCAGCTACATTTCTTTTTAATGGTGCTCATTCATATTTATATTCAGTCCACATTCTTTCTTGATTTACCTTCTTGTTTTACCATATACTGTAACATCTAAGTGCAATGCTCCATTCCTACTGCTTTCAACTTCTTTTATGTACATGCTCAACTCTTATCTAACGAAGTACACAGAAGCAAGTTCTATGCAACAATTCTTTTTGACATTTTCAACTACCAGCCTTAGTTACGTATAGCTGAGCCACATGCAAACCTGTGTACTAATAGTTAGTTTTGGCAAATTTTGGTCAGTATGCTATAAGTCATACTAAGTCTAATTTTACTCCAAATATGCTCATACTATTCTATGCCTATTAGAATCTCTAGTCTAAAGGTTACACATTGATGCCTGCATTCAATTAAAAATTCCCATTGCATTCAAATTACTTTCTCTGACATATATCATTCAATTCCTTATAGCAAAATAAAGGCATGCTCAGATGCATAGTCATGTTTTTTTTTCTTTCAACAATCATTCCTCATTTCAAATCAAATACTACTCATTATCTGACTTAAAATTTCCATATCTTATTTTTCTATGTTTAAATAGGTTAGCTTTCAGGACATTCTTTTCCCAGAAACAAACTTAAAGATCTTCCTAAATTGTACCTTATACTGCAGAGAGGGGTAGCAAGTTGAAAGCTTCTTCACAAAGCAAACAGCCCAACCCTCCCCCCTATTTCTTTTGTTCATAAGAAAAATAGCCCATCAATTTATTTTCTTCCCAATCAATTGGCATAGAAATTAAACTGAAATTCAAAAATATCAGAGAGATAGTGAATGATCTCACTTATGGAAAAGATGCAACACAAACTTTATCAGCACAATTTAGTGATTTTATTTTTGAGATTTTTAAAAAGCACATCTTTATTATTTTTATAACTAACTCAAAGTGACAAATATATCCAAAACTTCTTCTTCTTCCAATATTCCCCACAACAACAACCACAAGAGATGGGTTAGACTGAGAATGTGACTGGTTCAAAGTCATCCAACCAGGACTAGGACTTAAGAGTCTCTTGGTTTCTAGTCTTAGACCATTTCTATTTCGATCACATGGGATATTTCTTTGCCATCTGCTTTGTTATTTTGACATCAAATGTTGAGGACTGAATTCTGTACTGTAGTCAGACTCCAAGACGTCTTCCTCTTAGATAGCTTCCAACATCTTTTGTGTGCAAAGCTGCGAGAAGATGAAACCTAGAAAGCAGGTATATCAAATCAGGACTGCAAAAACCCAGATGACCATTAGATGGCAGCAAAAAGGAAGCTCTTTTGGCTACCATCAAGATTGTATTT